ATACAGGATTCAAAGATATTCTGACCAATTCCAAAGGAAAAAGAAAAAAAATAATCCCACACCACCCCCCCCTCTGCTTTTTTTTTTTGGCTGCAACACAGGGCAATAACACTTAATTCTCCTGCCTGTGTTTGTAATCAGAGCTCTGACAGACCCAGATACTCTCCAAAACTGATTAAAAAAGAAGAGAAAAATTGCACTGTTTTACATAATTTTTACATATCTTTGTTCTAAATGCTAAAGACCCGTGAGACATACATCTCATCAAGAACAAATACACAGACAACAGCACAGCAGACTTCAGTGATACAACAAAAGACAATTTAAAACAAATGACTTAGAGCAAATGCTATCACTGAATAATCCCACAGCAGCTGTCATAATTAGTTAGCTCAAATCTCATCAGAATCAGAGAAGTTAGAGTTAAATGCTAGCTCTCTTCCTGTAACATTGTGTAACTCCAAAACAGCAGCATTATCCTCGCTATTTTAGAATTAACCTTTCTCCACAAAATAAGATGGAACGACTCGATCCTTCCACGCAAAAAAACACGGTGCAAGCCAACAGATGACAAAAGAAACTCGGCCAAGTTTGAGCCTCTCAACACCTTATTTCCTGTCTAAAGAGCCCTTTTGTTCTGCTTCCCTGCATAAATGTTAATATTCTGCCATCATTGGAAAACGAAACAATGAAAAAAAGCCCCACGCACATGAACTCCACTGCCCCAGAGGGCGAAATAACGCCACACGACGCGATTAAAACCGGAAAATTCCTACCAACAAAATCTCCACAATTTTCTGTTTGCTTCACCCCAGATTAACTTCACTTGAAGCTGTACTTCGGCGCAACCTAGCCTGGATGCGGAGCCCCACCTCCCCCGCTCCTATTGGTCGAAGCGGGGGTGCCCCTCCCCGCCAGCCAGACTCCGCTCCCCGATTGGCGGAGCGGCGTATCCATTATTTAAAGAACTTTTCCTTGCTAGCAGGTTAGGCTGGCCAGGTTAGAACACCCTGGGCAAGCTGGTTCTTAAAGGGCCAGGACCCCGCTCCCGGCTGTGACAAACTACAACCTTGGGCGACGCGCCGCCCCGAGCGAGCTCCAGCGAGCGCCCCGGCGAGCGGCAGCGGGCGGGAGGGCGGCCC